TATATATATAAGAGAATAAAGATTAGGATATGATTTTAACTATCGAGATGATTAAAGAGATGAAGAGCATCAAATAAATGAATTTAATTTTCTGTCAAATGATTTTCAAAGGAAGGTGATCGAACCGATTCACTTCTTCACATCACTCAGTTTCACTACAAATGGTTAACGAAGAAACGAGTAAGTTTCATGACACTATTACAATATTTGTTTTTTGTTTGTGAAAAAACGTTGATAGGAACATTAATGTTTCTGCTTTAAAAACATTAATGCTTCTGCTTTAAAAATATTAATGCTTCTGCTTTAAATACCATGAGTTTGTATTAATATTAAAAATAACCATAACGACTATCCGTAGTGTTATACTATACAGTAATTGATGATTATGATATTGTGTAGTGATAATACTAACATGTAATAGTGATAGTCACTGTAGTTAAGAAACAGTTGGTATCGTCGTAAAGATGACTTCTTACAGCAAAAATGACACACAGCTTGGAAAATCCAAGAAGGTTACTGGTAGTTCGACACGGTGAACGTTGTGATTTCACATTCAATCAGCAAGGTTAATGAAATTAGATTAAATCGAACGAGTTCGATGTTCTTATTCTTATTCGCTGAATTGTTTAATGTGATTGTCATCAAATCAATCATCAATTAGTTTGGATGCAATTAAATTCTTTTTTTTTCTTTCGATGAAGAAGAGAAAATTTTTGTGTTTGTAAATTTTAGGAATTAATTGGATGAGACGTGCATTTGACTCGAATGGCAAATATCGTCCGTTCGATTTGAACTTACCGCGGAATATGCCGAAACGCAAAGATGGCTATGAGAAATTTGCAAGTGATAGTCCGCTGACGGAAATGGGATACTTACAATCCAAGTTGACTGGTAATTGAAAATAATTTGATTTGGAGTTGAACCTGTCCTGAAATTTGATTTTGTAGACTGATGTTGGCGTATACGTATTCACAGATGATGTTTTGCAGTTGTTAGAGATGAAAGATTGATTTGATTTTAAGCATGTGGTAATACGCAGAGGTCATCTCTGAAAATTACTTCTTGGTAAAAATTACTTTTTTGCTTACTTTGCATTATTGAATGCACTATTTTGAATGTATACTTACACTGTTTGCTTCATTTGCAGGTCGAGCACTACGTGATCATAATGTTAAAATTGACTTCATTTATTGCTCATCAGCGCTAAGGTGCGTTCAAACTGCTGTTGGTATTGTCAAAGGTAATCGAATACTATAAACTATTGATGGGCATGCATTGCTTCATGATATTAATGTGTTGAATTTATAGGTATGGATAATAGGACACTTCAGCTGAATATAGAGCCAGGCCTGTTCGAGTGGACCCAGTGGTGTCGTAATGGCATTCCGTCGTGGATGTATCCAGAGGAATTAGCGAGTATTGGTTATCCTATAAACACCAAGTATGAGCCATTGACGAGGGCGGTGGATTTGAAGTTGAACGAGTCGTTAGAGGAGTATTATGATCGATCATATGTGCTGATTGAGAGTATCTTGAAACGACATCAGCAAGGTTCATTTGATTAACTGAAAGATCTGGGGTGAATAGTGATGAGTAACGAATAAGGTTTGAAGGTACCGTTCTGATAGTAGCACATGCCGCATCGTTAGATACCATTACGCGTCAGTTATGTGGTGGACTACCGCGCAATCAGCAGGAATTCTTTTATTGTATTCAGCAAACACCTTACTTGGCGTGTAATCAAGTGCTCGAGATGCCCAATAAACAGTGGAAGATAAGTATACCTCCGATACCGTCGTTAACGCACGCCTCAAATACATCATACAATTCGAAGTTGGTTCTTTCTTTATCAGTCTTTTATTATTATTAATTATTATTATTTATTATTATTATTATTGCTATTATATTATTAATATTATATTATTACTATTGTATTATTATCACTGTTATTAATATTATATCATAATTATTTTACTGTTATTAATATTATATTATTATTACTACTACTACTATTACTAATAGTACTATAACTATTACTTTTATAACTATTACCATTATTATTCGTATTATCATTATCAGTTTTTATTGTGTTTATTTTGCAGAATGCTGACGATGAATTTTCCTCAGATGGGTTCTGAAAAAAATGAAAATTAATTCGAAGCAGTCATATCGATAATTTTACTTCATTAGAAACTTATCGCATTCATTGACCAATATATTTATGTATGTATATATGTTTGAAATATCATCCTCATATGGGCCAATAACTTGATCAAATTATGTATTAATTATGTATCATCTACAACATGTGAGGCTTTAATTCACTCATTAGTCATATTACAAACAGTCAATTGTTTCAGATGGTTTCATTTTCTTAAAACGTCATTTCACTTTGTATTGCTGTGATGGGTATAATTGTTATAGTTTCTTGATGTGTCACTGTAGGTGTTTACTTAATGATATCAAATGAGGACGTGAAAATATTTCTGATGATATGTGGACAATATTAATGATTACCTTTAATATTTTGGTTATTCGTTGTGATAATAATACTTTACAGTCATTATCCCAGTCATACACAGTGACGTAGAGGGGTGGGGCAGGGCGTGAAACATCCCGGGATTTGATGAAACATGGCATTTTGTACGATTTTGGTAGTGTACTCATCTCGAATTACCTATTGATCATTCCCAGCTCATTCTATGCGGTAATGATTGTCCGTTACTACCAAAGCGATGAACTTTATGAAGTAAAACCACTTCGACTTCGCTTTTCACAAAACTGAACAAGACTTTCATAATGTGGTCGCTTTTGCTTCGTATTTCTTCATCGCCGTTACTTTGCCTTCCGGTTATTATGATTCATCAGTTTCGCTTTTATTCTTCAGAGATGCTTCCAAACAGTGCAAGTTCGCCCAAATGTATTAAAAAATACAACGGAAATGGTTATCATTCCCGCTGCTGAGACAGAGAAATTGGGAAATGTGAACTATGCGGTCAGATTAAAAAAAGCAAAAGGATCGTTTGTTAGGAAGGGATGAGATTATATGGGGTATACGATTATGAAAAAAAATATTATGGAACTGCTAATGAAATTAGCTGGAGGCTGTTCGGTGTGGGAAGAAAAATGATGATAACCTTGAGTCCATCTCATCGATGGCAACTAATGCATATTTCAAAAACAATCTAAGATTGATTTGATCACGTAACAGTTCTATCAGAGCAAAGATTTAAATATTCTCATTACAATTGTGACTATTTGAGTGAACAATAGTATTGCATTTGATTTATATGAAACGTAACTGATCAAAATTATCACCTTCGTGTCGCCACAATAATAAGCTCGTTGAGTGAGCAGAACTTCGAGAGTTATCGCACAGAAGTTCGTTTAGTCGAGCACGGGATATTTTCACCAGGCCACAAAAACTACATTCGTGGGGGATGAAGGTATTCAATTTGTAAAATGATCTCAACGAAGAATAATGCGTGCAATTAACTCTCATTCATAGTAGTGATCTAACGATGGGACGTGTCAAAGAGAGGTGATGCGCAGTTGAAGGTGGGCTCAAGTCGCATTAGTTCATTGAATAAAAACGCATTTTTATTATTGTCATCATTATTGCAACAATTGTCAAAATTATTATCATTATCATCTTTAAATCGAATGGGCAAATTTATTTGTTTGTATTTCCATTGAGTGATAAGCGAAGAACACAAACTCATCGGTTAATTGCCATTGTCGACTTTCATCAAACCCTGTTCGGTTTGAGTCGTTTCACTTTTCATAATAAAGTCACTAAGCATGCATACACCTTTGTGTCGATCATTGAAACATCATTCAACGCATCATTCATCTAATTCGCACCTCAATACCATTGTTTCTGAGGTATTCCTCAGGTCTGCTCATTTAATCAGTCAATTATTCCACTGATCAATTAACAGCTGATTTTGTCGACGATTTTACCTATCTGTGCACTTAGTTGTTTGTGTGTTGTTCTACTTCAATGAATATGCTTGAAGCGGTTGTGTTGGTCTCCCCTAATGAAATCGCTTCATGCAGACAGCGCATTTTATCGCACACAGATGAACCCTGTTGTGTCCACAATAATTAATGAGAATTGACTGAATAGAAATGAAGATACTCATACTGAATGGTCTGAAGAACAAAAAGAAGAAGGTACGGATCATAGAGGTAAAATTAGGAGGGGGTTTAAGGACGATATGAAAATGGATGGATAACGAATAAATGGATGAGAGAATATGAAATACGATTAGTGATTTGGATGAATTAAAGAATGAATATAGAGAAGTGGAAAAGAAGGAAGGGGTGGGGGTGGAAAATACGTTAGGTGTCGGGGTGTTTGGTTAGTCAGTTGATGTAGGTGCGTGAAGAAGTGTGCTGTGGTTGAAAATCGGAAAGGTGGATGGATGAATGTTTTTATATATATATTGGTAGTAGAAGTGGAAGTTAGGTAACGATGTTATTGTCATCAGGTGGATGATGAAGAATGAATATGACTGAATGAATGTGGGTTTTGATTGTTTGAATGAATAAGATAGGGAGAACAGAGTAGAGCGCAGCAGCGGATGGTGAGGTGTTTGAAATGAATTGAATTGAAATCAAAGTGTTGGTGTATGTATGGTGTTGTTTGACTATGTTTAAATTAAATAATGAAGATTGTCGTCTTTGGTTACGTTTCATTACTTGTTTCGTATGGGAAAAGCGGAGAGAATGGAGAAGAAACGAAGAGGTTAGATGAGATGGGGGACACGAAATGTTTGTCGTTATTCTTCAACATTTCTATTGTAGTGTATTGTTAGTAGGTATGTATACATATATATTTTTGTTGTTGTATTCAAGAGTGATATATAGATTGATGGATAAGTGTTGCTTGCACATGATCTTCGATGGAAATGTAGATAATTAAGTGAGTTGGTTGCTTGATTCTTGGAAGTAGTTATTTTCATGATAATGAGCAGTGAACGTTTTGTGTTTGTTACAATATCTATCATTCCGTTTTTAATCGGAACATTACAGCAATTATCACTGATCTTTACTTGCATCTTCAAGAAATGTTTTGATTTTAGTTTGGTATACATAATGACTGATAGTTGATCTGCCATTGTACTAAGTTTGATCATAAATTGAATGCTGTTTTGTGTATAGGTGGCGCGATCTTTCAGACTGCTTTTTTCGGTGAACGTTGACAGGTTGTTTCCAGTAGAAAAAACGCTGCTGACATCGAAATTGGTTGACGTGTAATTGTTGAATTATTTTCGAGCGTTGATTTCTTGAAAATCTCATCGTATTGTCGTTATGATCCTGATCACCGTAGACCAGTGGCCGGCTGAAGCAATCTTTTGGCCATTTGTTTCCCTTTTCTTAGAACTTATTAGATGATTTCCAGTTCTTCTGTTCCACTACATTCTCCTCTGTTCTGCTCCCAAAATTATAACAAAATCTACGGAATGTTCATCCTTTCGTCATTTGATTTGCAATGCATCTTGTTTGTGTTTCAGCGTTCTGCATTTAATTGCATCTGGCTTTGTACATATCTGCATCAGTGCTGCTATATTAATATATATCATATGATTGCAACAATGTTTGGAGTGAAAGCAATTGCTTCGTTGTTTTTATTATTAGTTTTACATTTATGTCTGTGATCGTTTAGTTGAGGAAAATATGGCTGAATGTATCCAGGCACTCTAGTGCGCAGTAACTTTCCGACTTTCCATGCCATCCATCATCACCATGGACGGTGAAAAAGTTTTATAACTTAAACCGCTAAAATTGATTCTAAAGTTCTCTGCTAAAAACGTCACGAAAATGAACAGAAATGGCATCGAGAGGGTGATGAAGAAACCATAGAATAAAGAAGAAACTAAAACAAAAGAAAAACTTCATTGGCTCGCCTAGAACCAATGTGAGATGCCATTTATTTGAATTTTTGATTGATTCTGCTGAGATTGATGGAATGAATCGTTTATTGGACTATTAGACAATGACTACGTTTCAAGGTCGTCATCATTCACTCTCATCATGCACACAGACATCATCATCAGCAAGAGACCAGCTGTATAACACCTACGTTTGCATGACCTCTACTGGTAGCGAGTGACCGAACAAATTGCCTTCTAGTAAAGTCGGTTTCATGCGTGTAGCACTCATACACGAATGTGTGACTAACGATAGCAGGCTTTCATGTCTATCTATTACAGTTACAGTTAGTCAGTCGATCGTTGATTTTAAATGAGAAAAATCTGTTGATTTTATGCGCTATTCGAGTGGAAACTTTTTTGTCATCTTAACTTGAGAGGGAGAGGGGGGGGGGGGGTTGGGCGTGTAGGCAGATGTTCTAAAAGATATTAATTGTGCTGAAATGGGACAGGATGAATTGGGAAGGAGGAAGGAATGATAGAGAATGATGCGGAGTGAAGGGGGATTTCATGTTGATTGTCTAAAAACCATTATACTTTTGACGATGCGATTCAGTTCGATTTAATTCAATCTGATATGATTTTACAAAAAGTTCTTGTTCACATTCTCTCGTCATTTAGTGAACTGAAATGAAATGAAATGAAAAGAAAAGAATTTATTCATTCACTTATGTATATTCAGTTGGTTAATCAGATACATATTCACTTATTAATTTAATTCTTGAATTGAATAGTACTTCATTGTTATTATCAGTGTGTTCTGTATCATCATTTGATTTGTTTGTATGTTGAGTGGTGACTGGAATCGATTGTATCGAGTAGTTTCCGTAATAGAGTGTGGCTGACATTTATTTGTCGACTTTCTTCTCGTATCATCCATCTATCTCCGTCTGGGCGAATGAATGGGCATTTTTTTGTACAATTTAGGAAAGTTGAATAATGCCACGAACGAGCGAATGGAACAGAATTCAGTGAGAAAATGGAAATATTCAGTTTATGCAGTGTGTTAATCAATTAGATAGGAATAGAACTGACCTGACTGAAGGTGGATAAAATTAATGATATCGGTCACTTTTTCATTGATCATTCGAAACCTTTTCGAGCTAGCAAGCATGCAACTGCAAATTCATGCATCACAGCTTCAAGAATCGCTTCTGAGGCAAAGTTTTGCTAGGAACGGAGTGGTAATTAATGCTTGAATGAACTTAATTTTGAGATGAGATCGAGAAAGAAAATAGGTGTTCGTGCACCGATTGTCCATCGCTCGATGGGTCGGTTGGTGTTTCGATTGCTCGAAATGAACGATTCGATATCATAAAGCAGCAGCACTTGAACATCACATTAAGTCGTCATGTTATTCACTCATCCATCCATCTTCACGTTCGTATATATTTTATTGTGTTTCATCTAGATTTCATTTGGATAATTAAGTCGTCATTTTGATGTTTAATCAATTACATTCCATCTTTATCTCTTTGGTTCTTCTTCTCATAATTCAATCATTTTCCTAACTTTCATATCAGTACAAATACTATTTTATGTACTTATTAAGGGTGGAGTAGCGAAAGAATAAGAGAAGATGATTGGCTTTAGCGAGTGAACGGAACATGAGTGATTAATCTGTTATGCTTGATTTGCTGATTGAGATTAGTGAGGGGTGATGGGGGATAGGGTATTATCCTCATTTGACCCTCTTATTATCGATTCGTTCCATTATTCTCACCGATCGACCGGAAATTTGCAATGGGCAATTCAGTATGCTAATATCGTATTTATTTGCATTGTTCACATCCGACTATTTATTCATATTCATTTTAATATGCCTGTCCAAAACGACGGTATAATATTAATATTTATCAACATGTGTTTGAATGTAACTGACCACCTTAGTGCAGTCATGCAATGCCCAAACTGCGCAATGTTCGTAGAGAACGACTCGAATTGGAAGTGTATTTGTGCGTTTTGATGAATGATAGCATACTTTATACGGTGTTACTTTACGCTGAGCATTCCGTTCAGTTGATTGAGAAAACAGTTTACTTGTACATCATATAGGTGTCTGTCTTTATTTTATATAAGTCGAACAGTAAGAACAAGATTAGTCAAAAGCGTTCTTACGTTTTCAAAATGTGAAAATGTCGTTGTTTCAAGGATTGTCTGTTATAGGGGTATAACAGGATTGCGTTGTTTGATCTGATGCGTGAATGATAATATCAGTAGTAGTATTGTTGTGGTGTTTTTGCTTGTTTATTAATGATGTTATTATTAGTATTGCATTCGGTTGTTATAATTACTGAACATTAAGGAGAGGTCGTTCGGCGGCGATAGAACACATTAGCCGATAATTAGAAGAACTAGGTGATAGCAAGTCAAAGTCGAACGAACGTGATCAGTTGAAACTACGACGACGTCAACGATTTCAATGAAGGAGGTGTGAAAGGAGGGTAGTGAAGAAAGGATTTGGAAGTGTTCTGATTGGGTTAGTGTATTGGTGAATAAGAAGAGAATTCGTTTGGTTCTTTGCATTTGTGCCGTTTTGTGGGGCATTTGGCTTGCTTTTTTGCTGATATTTATTATTTTGTATCGATGAGGAGAAATGTGCTTTAATTATATGTTTTATGGTTGTCATTATTATTGTTGGTGTTAATCATTGGTTATGATTATGCCTTCTTCAACATCAGCGTCTCCTTCTTCTTCGAATATTCTGATCCCATCTTCAAATTCGAATATTCCCATTGATTCATCACCGTCAGTGGCGTATGAACATATTCTAGGAACAAATGTTGCCACTAATGCTGCGACAAATTCAAATGGCTGTTATATTATAAAGCCATCTTCTAAAGCCAAGCCTTCTATGAGTCGATTGGATAAATCGGCGTCCAAATCGATCAGTAATAATAAAAGTAATAATGATAATAAACGACTGTCAACGAAGACGGCGACTACAGTAACAAATATAGATGCTCACAGGAACCATATTTGTAGTGACAACAATATCACTAATGAGCAACAGGAGAGTGATCAAAATGAAGCATCGAAAAATACTGTTATCAATAAACATTGTACCAATAATCTCTTAATGCATCTTCAATCGAGTAAAGTTACTAATCATAGTAGTGATGCTAACAATAAGAAAGCAACTCATCATCAATCGAATATCAATCCAAAGAACTGCAACCGAACTTCTCACTCCTATTCGCCACCTTCCCATCCAATAGCTTCTCGTGGAATCAGCAATAATAATAATAAAATATCTTCTACTCCTCCTCCACCCACAACAGCAATAATCCTGGAAGCAAGTGCTTTCTGTAATGGATTTGGTGCTGTTTCAAAAAAACGACGTAAGCCAAGACAAGAAATTTGTGCACCACTCAAATGGCTATGCTTTATACTCAATTTTCTAGTCTTTGTAAGTTCTTTCTTTTTATTTATTTATTTAAAGAACATCCATTTATGAACATCTCGGTTTACGATCAACTAAAAGGCTAAAGAACAAAATTTTGTGCACAAAACCAGCGTTGGTTTCGATCAGATTCAAGTTGCTAGAAAGAACTGCAGTCTCAAATAGAGGTTCCATTATATTTCAAAAAGGGGAACAAGACGAGATATACTTTTCTTGGTGTTGGTTGATGTGGCCGGAGTATGTCTGATTGTCGCCAGTTTATTAAAAACTACTCTCATTCGTTCGTATTCGAATGTGAATTTGATTAATGGTCTGAGCTGTTCGTGTGTAACTGAAATGCTGAAGAAATTTGTTCATAGGTTAATTTTTTTGATTTGTTCGATTCGAATCATTTGAAATTTAAGAAAGTTCAAATTCGTTTTGAATTTGATTTCTTGAAAAAAAGAGATAAACAATTTAATAAGAATAGATATAATATTAGTAATAAATTGAATGCGGACAATATATTGAAGAATTGTCCGTTTAAGTTTGGTTTTTTTTTTCATGCGTCAAGGTTATTCGCTGAATGAGTGAATCGGTCAATCAACAGATGAGAATTTTTCATTTATTGGTTGATAGGAGTTTTTTATGCGATCGATACGGTGTTGAAGTAGGGCATTGATAGGTTATATGGGGATGAATACGGTGATGATGGAGAATGTGCATGTTTGAAGGACTTCTGGTCACATTGCTTGAGAAAACGGAGGAGTTACGATACTCGTTGTACGATATGAATAGTTGCTAGATGTCCGTTTTGATAGGCATGAATCATTCCTCAGCGTCACTCTTTAACGATCAGATGTCAGCTTTTTTTGGTCTTTAGAAAAAATCTGTCATTGAAATATCCAAGCAAGTTGCTTTATAGAGATTTATGCATAACGCTGTTGAAATGAATGGATAATAAATACTTTTACATACACACATGAATATATCAAAGGAACCGAACTGATTCTGAGCACTTACATGGTAGCCTAGAATCGAAGAAGGGATCGGGGTTGGCCAAGACCATATATGGCCAGACCAGATTGGGAGAAACAATTATCCGTGATAACAATAATTGGAGTGATATTGAAGTGTTCGGAACAATAAACTGAATCTATACAAACTCTTAAGTATATATCTGATAAACGAGGTTATGTGACTTCGAAAATGATCCATTTAATGGAATAGTTGTGATAGTGAAATACTGGAATACTGGAATCGGCCAGGCTATCGAACGTTGTTGACGTTGCTGGCCACAATGCGTTTCCAATCAGTCCTCGACCTTGCTTTCCTTTGCCAGGTCTTACCAATCGCCTTGTCGATCTCGTCTCGCCACCTTTTTGGAGGTCTTCCTAGCGGTCGTTTTTGTTCTCGGGGGTACCATTCTAGAATTGCTCGGGTGTGATAGTGAAATAAACGGTATTAATGATATTGTTTGTACTGCATAAAATCAGCTGAAATACGGTTGGCTTGTGGGAAATGTGGTGAACTTTTCGGGGCTTCTAACCCCACTCCTGCGAGCTCCGAACCTGACTTAGGTCCAGGACGAAATGTTCTAAATAATAATTGATTTGATACTATTTCAGCTAATCGGTGTAACTTGCCTTGCTCTCGGTGTATATTTGTGTGTTAAAGACCCAAGAAGCATAACAGAATGGGCTGATGTTTTATTAAATCCGGCAGTTATGCTGACTATTATGGGACTTTTAATTTGTATTATTTCATTAATGGGTTCATTTGGTGCATTAAGAGATAATATCACCTTGCTCAAAACAGTTCGTTTTTTTTTCTCACCAGTTTTGAGTGTGTAATTGATCGATTGATTTGTTCTCATTATTTAACATAAATTTCATAACGTGATGCATTTGAATTTAGAACATTGTGTTCTCAGATTGATTCAATTGATTGAAAACTTCAATCCTTAAAGAAACAACAAAATGTCATTGCAATAATAATAACAATAGAATGTTTCAGTTTTCGTTGAGTGTGTTCTTCTGTTATATATTAATTGTTATATTCACATTTCTATTATTCATTCTGTTTTATTCGGATACCACTGAGGGTCTATCTGCACATAGTATTTTATTGTATGCAATCAAAAAATATCATACAAATCGAAATTTGGCTGATTTTGTTGATTATATTCAAGAGCAAGTAAGTGAGCCTTACTTGTTATATTTACTTGTTACCAATTTTGGTTCATTCGTTAATTCAGCGTGAAAAATAATAATAGCAATAATAATAATAATAATGACGATAATAATGATAATAATACTTGTTTATTCAGTAATCATATTCAAAATTTCAGTTAGAATGTTGTGGAGTGTCATCCATATCACAGGGGTATCGCGATTGGCAATTATCTGAGCAATTCAACTGCTCAGAAATGAATCCATATCCCGAAAAATGTGGTGTACCTTTCAGTTGCTGTAGGAGATCAGTTGTGAGTTTGTTATAATTATTTGGTCACAATCAATGAATGAACGATGCACTAAAAGCGATTTCCATGAAAGGTATCTGAAGCAGCGGGATCGTCGAATCCACTATTGCCAGCCATGCGTTCATTTGAATGCTGGCAGAATGCGCAGTTGAAACGACCACAGGAGATCGAGACTCATTTGCATACGCGGGGATGTTTGCAGCCGTTACGGGTCATTTTTGAGAGTCATGCCCTTCATATTGGTGCCGTTGTTGCCGCTATTATTGCGCCTGTTGTCAGTTTTGTTTCAAGCTTTGGACATTATTATTAATTGTTTATTATTATTATTATTATTATTATTATTATTATTATTATTATTATTATTATTATTATTATTA